ATTTTTAACAATATGATACAGGCCTATTTTGCTTGGGTAATGTTACTTTTATTAAGCTGACAGGCAATTTATCAGCTTGCCTAACCATTGCCCTAACAATAACCCTACTCTCAAGTCGTGTGGCTTTTCACTTTTCTTCATGGATCTATGACAGACTGCCCTCACGCTGACATCTCCTGTAACCTTGTCTTTAATTGACACTGTGAGGAAGGACGACGAACACACAATTTGAGACTGTAACGTTACATTTTTACACAGTATCTTGACAGTATCTCACACAAACTCACAATCGAAAGTTAGCTGACAAGTCAGTCAGTCATAGTCGAACAAAACAGCTAACTTTAACGTTAACCATCTAATCGTTCAGTTAACATTAACGCTAACGTTAGCTGCTACAACAACATTTCAACGTAACGACTTACCCTCGTAATTATCGATGTAGCTGGCGATATACATCATAAATCCCTTTTCCCGTTTGCTGGAGGGAGTGGGGCATGACTACTTGACAAGTCGGTCCACATCATTGATAGTCAGACGAGGTAGGTCTTGAAGACAGCGAGTGTAAAAGAGAGCCATGTTTGCCTGTTGTCGGTCTGTCTGTTTGTCGGTCAAGTGAACTAGAATTTCGCAGTCAGTGTAACAGGAAGTTTGTCAGCCGGTATAAGCCAATCCGGAATTGTGACGTGCATTGAGCGCATTGTCAGTCAGCTGTCTACAAACTTCATTCTGGCCATTGCTTCTCAGTCTACTCTTAGTATCTTGGGCTTGACTGAGACCTGGATTCTTCCAGAAGACTCCGCAACCACTGCTGTTGGAAGGGTACTGGTCTTCTCATTTCTAATAATTGAAAATACTCAACCCACTCTTCCCTATGCAATAAAAATTATTTTGAGTTTCATGCTATTATGGGTAACAGCTCCTGTTGAACTCCATATTGTAATGATTTATCGCCTTCCTGGTCAACTGGGCACCTTTATAGAGGAGCTGTATGGGCTGCTGTCCTCATTCTCTGTGGATGGCAGTCCACTTGTAGTCTTTGGTGACTTCAAAATCCATCTGGAGAAGCCTTACACTGCAGACTTCCACTGCTTCATTCAATCTCAAATGGCTTAACACCACAAGCACTAACAAATCAGGCAACCAGCTTGACTTAATTTAGATCCACTTTAACTTCTTGTCAAGACAATATCTGACTAGACAGGCCAGTGCATAATACCTCTTCTAACCTAATAAATTGCCCCATGTATTATCATCTTTACTGTATTTTTGCTTAGCAGTCTTTTGGGTGGCTCACCAATGTACTAGATTTCTCAAATACAAAAAAATTAAGTAGGCTTGACCAACATTTTTGTGGGGAGAAGAATTTATTGAAAATGGTAGTGTAGCAGTTCTTCAATAGCGATGTTAGCATGTCTTCCTTCAAACAATTTTACCCTTGTATGAATCCTAGCTTCTCCCAAAGTTCTGTCTGTGGGATATAATTTTATACCTGAAGACAAAAGGGCTAGAAACAACAAATACTGTTAGGACCTTCCCGCTGGAGATCCTGCAATCTACAAGATGTTCCTGGGGAATGCTGTTCCTTTGTTATTCTAATGGAATGGACCATTTGGTTCACACCTTTATAGACAGTTACATTATTTCTTTCACAGAATGACCAACTGAACTTTAACCAATCAGGTTTCAGCAGCGGCTATTCAACTGAGACAACTGAGCTTTGCTGTCGGTCACTGTAGCCCTGCAGATAGAACTGATGATTTGGAATCAGTTTTTGCTTATTCTGCTGGATCTATCTGCCACTTTTGACACTGCGAATCATTAGATTCTCCTGTCTACAGATTCTCCACAACTTCTTGCCCAGGCCCTTGTCATTTCTAGGCTGGACTATTGCAATGCTCTTCTAGCTGGACTTCCATCATGTGCAATCAAACCTCGACAAATGTTTCAGAATGCAGCTGCACGACTACTCTTCCATGAGCCCAAAAGGGCCCACTTCACACCTCTCTTCATCTCCCTGCACTGGCTACCGGTTGCAGCTCGCATCAAGTTCAAAACATTAATGTTTGCGTACAGAACAGCCACAGGCTCAGCACCCTCCTACTTCCTCCTAACTCTTATGAATCTACATCCCCTGCAGAAGTCTGAGGTCTGTATGTAAGCGATGCCTCGTGGTAACATCACAGAGAGGCATTTTCATTCACCTTTCCTGGCTGGTGAAATGACCTTCCCATAATCTCAGTAATTAACAGAACTCCCGACACGTTATCTGGCAGCAGCACTAATTTAATCCCATACCCGACCCATTTGACATAAAAACTGGGACCCGAACCACACCTGCATTAAATCTCCTACATGAGGTAGACAAAACTCATTTATTAAAACTTTTATTCAAATTGTGAATAGATTAAACACAGAAAGCAAACAAAGTATGCTCCCTTTAATATAATCACTACAGCTGTCAATCAGTGGCAGCATGATTGGCTACATTTCTCAGAGTGTATTGGACCGAGTCTAAATAGTCTTGGTTACTGGACCCGCATCCCGCCCGTGCTTGTCACCGTCCAGCCCGCACCAGCACCACACCCTGCACATAAATATTATTCCACCCGTTACATCAAATATTAGCGATTCACCTGCGTGTATGCCCGCATGCAAGACTCTGGCTTCCCCCCTGTGGACAACATGATAGACAACTCTGGCCCCAGAGAGTGACTGTAAATTAAGTTTACATGAAATATGTTTGAAATTTCATTCTGCATCTTCTGAGATTTCATTGTAATCCTTCTCATAAAGTCACTGAATTAACCATTAACTGTTCACCTGATTGAGTTGCCGTCTGTGTGTGATGTTAGAGCGTTGTTGAGAGAGAACAAGAATGTATTGGAAACATACTACCGCCTACCCGACTCTGCCTGAGAGGTAAGGAAAAATACACTTACCCGAGATTTTTTTATATATATCTCTGAAATATATGATAGTATTCTTGAAATCAATCTTTTAATGTATTATTGAATAAAATATTAATTATCAAAGAAATGAAAAAATTAATAGCCATAATATGTACTATTAACTCTGTGATACTATGATGCTCAGATACTGTTATTTCCTTCTCACATTGCTGATTTCACCATTAACTCTTCACCTGAACAGTTTATGTTTTTGTATATGGTATCATTGTAATCCTTGACCATCAAAACATAGGGGTAGACATCACCTTTTCTGAGTTATCATGTTTGCTTCAGGAGCTATGACACATAATACATCATTTGGTTATGGCGGAAAGTAAAATGGTCGCCATGGCAACCACGAGGTGTTTTTGCGATGGCTCCATTTCTGAAAATGTTTAGGGCCACAAACTATACAAGTGTACCAAGTTTCATGCTTTTATGAAAAAGTGAACATTATTTTCACATATCACCTGAACTATAAGTAAAATGTATTGTTGAGAAAGGGACAAAATATCTTTCTGAAAATCTACGTTTTATAATTACTATGTAATGAAAATGTATATACTCTACTTTGAATTTGTCCATGACAGGGTGGACATATTTTGTGGTTTACTCAAATTGTCTGCTTGCAGTTATTTTATATAAAAAAAGTGCTGGAGCGTGACCAATATGCATTTCTAACAGCCTACAGTCTCCTTAATACAACAAATAAGAAGTTTATAGAAAATCTCATATTTTTATTTGGGAAATGGTGAAGTCTCAAAGGCACTTTATAGTGATATTGACCCATTACACCTTCTAATAAGTCGTGCATGATGTCAAGTGGCAGTCCTTTAGTTCATCAAAGTAACTTGGTTCATCAAATGGACAGATTCTCTCAACACCACATACTGCCAAAAGAGGTTGCCATGCAGTGCAGATTCATTCAGAGTTAAAGGACATGCTAAATCCACCAATCTTGTGTGTGCAGACAAACTGTCCCTAGAGACAGAAGCCAGAGCAGCACACACATTGAAGATCTTATTTCTGAACATCAGAGGAAAGCCATCAGTTGACAGTCATTTTAAATCATCCAACAAATGTTTTAGAATAATGTCCATGTGCTGCTTAAACAAAAAAAGGCTTTAGCTGAGACCTATACTTTAGATCTAGCATTATGTCTATATAGAATCCCATACATCCTCATGGCTACAGTACATTTTGAGTACATCATCAATGGGAACGTAGTTAATATTTCCAATCTTATGACCTACGATCTTATGCGGCACACACTCTAAGAAGAAAAGGTTAAAAAATAAACCTTCTGAGGTTCCTGGAGATTGCAACTGGTTCATTTTTTAACCTTCTAATTGGAACCTTCCCTTAAAGGCGCATTAATGACCCACATGGGTTCCTATAACTATTTTTTATGTTTATTTCACACACACACTGCTCTTACTGTCTATATGAGGATTTATGACACATTTATTCTGACATTATTTCACAGAACAGAAGTTCAGCTGCAGTATTAATGTCATGAAGAGAAGAGACTATAACATCTTATTGTTACTGATTTATCATGCAGCTCAAAGCATAATGGGAAGAATCTCTCATCAGTGTGTTCTGATTCATCAACACAGTTTCACTGATGATTTATTATCAATAGTAAATCCAGGATAGAGCGGCTGAGTGAATGTGGTCTGGACTGTGTGGATGAGGCTCATTGTGTCAGAAACGCTGTAGAAGGACAGAGTTCCTGCATTGTGATCCACATACACTCCTATTCTCCTGCTGATGGGCTTCACAGGGAGACGAGTCTCTATGTCGTTGTGATAGAATGAATAACTGTCAGGAGAGCAGTACAAACTCCAGGACTGATCATTAAATCCAAACCAACACTCTTTACCCCATCCCTTCCTGCTGATGCTCTTATATGACACTGATATATACACACCATCACTTCCACTCCACTTAGTTTCCCAGTAACAGCGTCCACACACACTCTCTCTACACAACACCTGAAGATGCACATCGAATCTGTCTCGATGTTCAAGATACGGCTGATATTGTTCCACATTTGTCACTTTTCTGTTCTGCTCAGACAGAATGAGACGAGTGTTTGCTGTGTTTGGATCCAGTGAGAGAAAACACAACCCTGAACACAGAAACAGAGATATTTATAACACAACAACAATCATTACAGGAGAGAGAGAGAGAGAGTGTGTGTTTGTAGACGTACATTTCTTTAGTCCTGTTTTAATCCTGCACTCTTCTCCATAATCCACACTAGAAAACACACAGTCACATTTAATCAGTAAACGAACACAAAATCAAATTACATTTTCAATTATGATTTTGACTTTCAATGATTTTGAAAACAAGATAATCAAGATAAAACAACATGTTACACATGCTTTAAACATACCAGCAATCATGGGTGACATTTAACTGTTGAATCGGTGGGGAAGAAAATTTTTTTAAAAAATTCTCAAATTGTAAAAAAAAAAAAATGCACAAAAAAGACTCGTTTCCACCAAATGCAACACATGTGCAAAAAAATAAAAAAATTAAATAAATCAGTTGTGGGATTATATTCAAGCCATTCATAAATCGCGTACCATTCTTTCCTGATATTTCTACCCTTCATAACTGGAAATTAAATTACTGGATGATATGCCCAATCTCAATAAAGATTGCACATTTTTTGATCTGTTAACTGGATCTTGCTCAGGACACGTGCCATTTGCAGAGTTGCCAACTTTTAAGTTCAGTTTGAAGTGAGATTTTTTTTGGGGGGGGGGGGTTCAATATCGATTCATATGTATTTACTGTACATAAAAGGGGATAAAAATCTTTTGTTGAATGGAGTTGGATGTCTTTTTTGAGCACCATTTTAAACTTGGGGTTAAATTCAGTATTTGCTTGCTTTCATTATGTATACTTATATAAGTATCATTAAAAAAAAGAATGTAAGTATTAACTTTTCAAATTTCACATTTAAAAATCCAGTGTTTAATCATGTCTAAATATTTCTTAAAATGAAAAACGTAAAAATAAGTACGCAGGTATAACCTGCAATATTCTAGATACAATTTAGTAAAGAGCCATACAGGTACCTATAGTGGGTTAACCATGGCATTACAAATGAAAAAAAAATATTCTGACCACAAAATGACTTTAAAACCCTTTCTCTATTTTTACCTTAAATACTACACTAATTGTAATATAAGTAATAGCAATACTAGAAAAAAAATATTTAAGTCATTAATGGACTATAATTATTGCACAAATAGTATTTAGTACCAAAAGATCTCCATAAATTTTAAATAAATATAATTGAACTAAAATATAGAACATTTATTTAACTGAAAAAGAGTTAAGCTGTATGGTCACATTATAAGTAAGCAATACCTGAGGGTTAAATGTATTAATGCTGTCTCTCCATCACTCTCCAGAATAAAATGATACTGTAAATGTCATCGACATAATAATCAATGTATAATATGCTGTAATGTTTACCAAACAATTCTGCAAATACCTGTTTAGTGAATCTGTCGTCTATTCTACTTAAACCCATTCAAATGAATTGTCAACGCTGGTTTGTTTGGAGAGCTCCGTGAACCACGTGACTGCGTGGCGACGCTGGCAAGATCAAAGCTTGTCGCAACTCTGTTTTTCAATGGCTCTGGCTTTAACTGAAGCACTACATTTTACGATTTACACCACATTAAGTGCGGCAAAACTGTATTTATTGTTTAAATTTCGTATTAAAATGTACAAAATATGAAAGCTGACACTGTTTCATATGGCAAGCAGGGTTGACTATTTGGCGTGAGATTTACATGGGCAGCGTGAGAGCGTGAGACAGATCCTGGAAGCGTGTGTCTCTCGCCAAATGCGTGAGAGTTGGCAACCCTGCATTTTGTGAAGGCTTGGCCAAGCCTGGTTCCAGATGTACCATCTATTGCTATGGTTATCACTATGTCAATCACTGCTATTTAGAGGGTGAATCCAGCATAAAGCTGAAATATAAATATTATATTATCCAGCATAAAGCTGAAATATAAATATAATTTTAAACTTATGTGTGAAAGGGTTAATTTTTTGGGCATGGTAGCCAAGGCTCACATAGTCATAGGCCACTAGCATTAAGCCGGTCGGCGTGGTAGCCCAGGCACACATAGATAGTAATACATGTGGTTCACATGGCTTTTTGGAGAAGCAGCAGTAGATCTGCAGCAGCAGCATAGCAGATCTATTCCACCTGGACCACTCGGGCTGAAACGCAGGGCTCTAAAGCGCAGCTTGTTGCATTTAAGCAGCAAAAATACACACAAAATGACACCAAAAGGGCCATCCTGGCCACACAGTTAAATAAATGATAATATTCAGTGATGTGATATGTGAAATGTGGAGTAACGTCTGGCGCAGTTGCAGCTTGTACTTATTACTAAAACAAGAAAGCAAACGAGTAGCATTAATAGTCATTCATTTTAGTTAACATATGCTATGATAATTTGAAAATATTTTTATTCTTATTGTAAAATAATGGAACATTTAGGTCATGAATATTGTCTCATAAGTCATGGAAAAGTCATGGAAATATATTGGTAAAAATGTGTACGAACCCTGATTAGAAATTCACAGGTAGGTGAGATTGATCAGGGTTGGAGCTAAACTCTGCAGCGCATTGGCCCTCCAGGGAAAGATTTGAGGAACCCTGCCATAGATGGTTCCTCGCCGGTCTATGGTCACACCCCCCCCAACTTTTTTTAATATATTTAAATTATAAGACATATATAAAATATAAATAAATACATAAAACATATATAAACTTCATAGAATATTTATTTATTTCTTCTTTTTCATGTGTCAAAGTCACTTAAGCAACTAATTCTTTGACGGACTAGGGTAATTTGTTTTCCAAACGGTGGTAAATTAACTTAATAGAATATTAATTTAGGACATTTTTTCTTTTATTTAGAATTTTTTTTTTCTTGTTCACGTGTCACAATTTCAGTCCAGTCACTTAGGCAACTTCTTCATGGTACTTGATAAAGCAGTTGCATTCAGCATTGAGGCACAGGTGGACCTTACAGACCCTGCAGAACACCTTTGACCTCAAAATGTTCCCCTTTCCTGCTGCATTACTTAAAGGTCTGGCGGTTGGTGTAGACAGGGGCATGGAACAGGGACATGTTAAACCGCTCAGAAGCATCTGGGTGTGGCTACGTTGTCCCCGGACACTTCTCAGCCATTATGTCGACGGCCATAACCCCCGCCAAAGGGAATGAGTCGAAAGATCAGGGAGGCTGCATCCCGCCCGTGTCCATCCTCATGTGGAGTATAGACATATGTAACTGCATATGTAACTCTGATATCTTCGATTTAGACCAGTGCTTCTCAAACTTTTTACACCAAGTACCACCTCAGAAAATATTTGGCTCTCCAAGTACCACCATAATGACCAACATTAAAATACAGCAGCGTAGTAGGCCTAATTATTCAGCTACAGCTATGCACAGTTCAAAAATGAGGCAGTTTTATTCCTAATAAGAATAGTTATTATTGTCTGCCACTTTAAACATTGTAAATACAATTTGAACATTAACACTGCACTGTGCTTACATACAGGTAAATAAAAAAACTTAAATTATTAAATTAAAATGTACTGTACCTATAAGTTAAATAAAAACTGCACTGTACTTAAAAAGTAAAAAAAACTGTACTGTACTCAAATGTAAAGTAAAAAATGTACAGTACTTCATAAAAACAAATTAACACAGGCATCATTTAGCTACCTTGCAAACCTTTTAAGTGTTTAACAGTGTTTCCCAACCTTTTTTCTGCCACGGCATAGTTTTGATATGTAAAAAATCCCACGGCACACCAATAGCTTACCAAAAAACAAAAAAGATAGAGAGAGGAAACGTATATTTCTATATATACTGTATATGATCAGGCACTTGCACTTACTTTCTGGAAATCATACTCAAATGGAGTTAATGAGGTTTTTGATGAGCGAGTGACAGAGATCTGTGTTTAGTCCATCATTAGAATGGCCGCATCTGAGGTAGTAATTTAATAGCATTACGTTTTCACTAGTTTGCAAGTTATAAAGTTTATTGTAGCTATGGGCGCTCAGTTTCTCTTGTTGTTAATACATTTGGCCAAAATCTCACGATATAAAAGACGAACTGCTATGATATTTAAAATGTACAAAAGTGTATTGGCTACAACTAGACAGCAAATGCTAAGACTCTTCTCTGCTCTTTATACACACAAAAACATTAGCCTTTTTTAGACAGCATTTCTTGAGTAAAGAAAACACTGTACTTATTCAAACATCAGTTCTTTATTTACCCTTGCATTGCGAAGAAGTAGACGTCTGTCTTCAAACTGCGCGTTGTAGCGCTTCATTCTGAATGGAGGTGGGGTGGAGTTATGAGGTTTGACTGAAAATTTGAGGATCCAATGGCGTGTTTAGTCACAAGCTCTTTAGAATGCTTTTCATTGGTTAAATATTTGTAAAACCCACAAACCGAAAACAATGACCAATAACACTGATTTAAAATAATAACGAAATAAGAGATAAGGAAGTTTTTGATAACTGTCCACGGCACGCCCGACAGCAGTGGTTGGGAAACACTGTTTTAACATTAATTAATATTAAGTCTGTGATTCCTCTGCGTACCTCTAGAGGGAGCCCACATACCACACTTTGAGAATCAGTGATTTAGACATTGACGACGAAGAGGAGGAAGACAACTCCCTCTTCCCCGCCCAACAGTCTAGGCCTCCTAGCACCATCGACTCGGCTTCGCAACTTGACAGTAACTTGCACGAGGCATGCAAGCGAGCCGCGGCGAAATTGGGCCTAGCTTGGCCCGTGGCCAAAGATGCCAAAGGAGCGGAGAGGGACCTTTATGATGGGAAAAGGTTGCCTCCCACTCAGCCTGCAGCGAGACAACTCCTGCCTGCCATGCCTGCTTGCATGAAGGAAATGTCCCGTTACTGGTCTAGCCCTTTTAAGAGCAAGCTCCCTATTAAGGGCCATTCCATGTTGGAGATTCAGGAAATGGGAGAACTGGGGTTGGCCGGACCCCCAGCGGTAGAGTCTTTAGTGGCTTATCATCTCCATCCGAATCAGCACTCTATTTCTGCCTCCTCTCAGATTTCGCTGCCAAGTAAACCACGTCGATATATCAGAAGATGTATAAATACGCGGGGCAATCCATGTGCTCGCTGAACGCAGTGACTTTACTGTCTGTGTATCAAGCGGAGATTTTGGAGGAGATGGGTTGGCAGCTGGACTCAGGAGTGCCAAACCCAGCACTCAGGGACGAAATTTAATTGTTATGGAGGTTAGCAGTGGTATGGGTGCAATCCGGGAGTGGTCTATATCTCCCATAGTGAAACACTGAGCGAAGTTAGAAAAAGAACGATGGTTACTAAACGTAAACCCGGGTTCTTTGATAACAGAGTGAGGTGTTTCACCAGCACTTCCCTCCTTGCACGGGTACAGGAAGAAATCTCTCTATAATGATTTTGGCAGGGGTCGACCTGACTGATATAGGTGGGGCGGAACCTGGTCACAGGTTGACCTGTTTGTCAGACGTGGTGTCATAGGAGCTTCCTCAGTTGGTCACGCCCAAAGCGATTCCCAAAGTGAAACACCTCACTCTGTTATCAAAGAACCCGGGTTTACGTTAAGTAACTCATCGTTTTTAACCAGGTGATAGTGTTCTTGTTCTCTTACCTGATCCAGGTGCTGTGTTTCGAGCTAAATTTTCAGGTCCATATGAAGTTAAAGAACAGCTCAGTGTCATATGTCATTCACAATCCTGATCGACGTCGTAAGACTCGTATATGTCACATGAACATGTTGAAACAATTTATTGTGCGTGCTGAGAAGCCTACTTCCTCCTCTGTTTCACCTGTTCCTGTGGCTACTGTTAGTGAAATGCCAGAATATGAGCCAGTTGAAAAAGTTGCACAAGTTGCAGCTAAACAGCTTCAGAACTCTGCCATATTGAGTGACCTACAGAATGTAACACTTGTTCTAATGTTAGTACAGTATTTTACTGTAGCACAAGGTTAATCATTTGCATAAAACATGCCCAGACCATCTACATATTAGGGCTTTCCGCACAACCTTTCCTTTACTGCCTTTCCGTTATACTCCACGCAACCCCATATGACGCTGTCTACAGACGCGCTCTCGCCAGATCTTTGAGCAATGATAAGTGCTCAGTCCTCAAAACCAGTTCATACACAATAAAACACCTTTTATACAGACCCAGTTTACAGAGCTCTTGTTAGCTGGCTGTAGAAGTGCTGGTATTCAGAGAAATCTTGCAGCTTGAGCTATAGTCTGATATAGCTTTTCTTACTCATTCACTGTATAAATAATATAACTATTATACTAAGATGAAACATACATTTTGTCTTAACTATAAAGAGAGAGAGAGAGACATTGTATAGATTATTATAGACCGGCCAGAGTGTGGTTTTTGCGTACGTGTGCTTTCATGTGTATTTTTTCTTAAATTTAGAATACATTTTAGTATGAAAGTTTTAGTGAATCATGATTTGTTTGTGAAAACGTTTGTACGCTGGTTTCACACACAAATTTGTGCGTACACATGCTTAGTGAATGAGATCCATTGTCATTGTTCCTCTAGTTGATGGAATTAGATTTGTGCAAAATGTTTTGAATTTATCTTTTGAATAAACTAATTTTAAAAAATGCAAAATAAATTGACTTAATTTTCAAGTACACTGCATCTTTTGCTAACTATTGTCTCTTATTCCTTCTGCTGATTTCATTTTCATTTTCTTCGAACGGCAGTTTATCTGGCTGTTTATTTCTTTTTGTGCTCCGGATTCATCATGTTTGGCAACCCATGTCAAGGGAATTATTTCCCTTCTCAATGAACGCGACTGAAGAGCCAGTTGCATGACTACTTTTCATCTCCAGATGTTCAGGTTACCTGGATTGAAAATCCTTTTGCAAACTTGTGTGAGGGAGCCGTCACAAGTTTAAGTGCAAAAGAGCATGACAGCCTCATTGATCTTGTGACAGTGATTAAAATTAAAGTTTTCTCAAAAATCTTAGACAGATTTTTGGATTCATACTCTCTCCGAGTATCCCAATCTTTCTGACAAAGCTCTGAGGTTTTTGATGCCATTTCTGACAACATACTTATGCAAAGCTGGATTTTCTGCATTGGTGGCACTCAAGACAAAATACCAGAATAAGCATAACATCAAGGCTGATCTCCGCTTGCAACTTTCTTTACTTCAGCCTGACATACAGAGCTTAGTAAATGCTAAAAAAACACCAACCTTCGCATTAAGTGAGTGACAAAGATTGTTGTTTATGATGTCTAATTGTCATGTGAATAAGTCGATAATTTTTTTTATTATTGTTTTATTTTTGCACGTTAGCCGTTTAGCTAAATTTGTTTCGTGGTTGTTGTTTTAAAATTATCAACATATTGGAATTAAAAATGGTCAGGAAGCGAGTTTGATCGCCGTCTTCTCATTTCTGTGTTTCCCTCGTGTCTTTGTTTTTCCCTTCAACGTGCCAGCTGCACACAGTGCAGAGGTTTATTGGCTTCTCGCCTGTTTTCTTTCTTTATTTTTCACTTTATATCTGCTCTCGATTTGCGCTTGTCACTCGAGCCTGACTTATAATCTTGCTTTGTCCAATGCTCCAGTTCTCTGCCGGTTTTCACTGCTCGTCTCAACCCTGCTCTGCCTGTTCTAAATTTAAAACGCATTTTTGCCCCGTTTGCATTTGTGTTGTTTTACTACTTACACAATTATTTAAAGTATAAAACATTATTATTTACAATAAACAACGTGGTTTTTAATCATATTCTGTTCCCCCTGACCCCACTGGGATCTCCGCCTATGACTACTAGTAAAAGCGCTGCTACTAATAACAATATGAAACATGCTAAGGTCTGATGAACTGCTGGATTAATGACATAACACAGGGACTGTAATAGGTGAGCACTATCCAGTGTTCCACCCACTACCGATGAAACCGGCTCATGTTTGTTCTTAAAGACTAAATAATTCCAAAGTATGTAATTCCTATATGTAAATTGATCCAAATGTAATTCTGACAGGAAAATACAACAAAAAAATTGTATTTACATGTAGCATGTCGATTCTGTGTGGTGTGTAAGACTCTCTTGCTCTCTCTCTTTGTGTGTGTGAGAAACACAGTGCGCTCTCAGCTAAGTGATAGTGAGTCAGGTGCCTTAAAGGCACAGTGTGTAATTTTCACTGCTATAGGGCGCATATTCAAAACAAACAAGAAACAAAGACGTAGTGTGATGACGCTGTGATTACCATGAATAGTGTGGAATTATGGGAGTTGTTGTCTTAATCTCCACAGTTAACGCAATCTGACGGGACTTGCTCAGAAATTATGTTCATGGATGCGCTAACATATTAAAGATTTATTAACATCACTGTAGTATAAAGCAGGGTGGGGCTGAAAGCCGTGGAAGCGGAATGAGGCCGCTGGTGCGATTGATAATGAGAGACGAGCGCGACAATAAAAGCAGCGGAGCTTTTATTATGCCACTGTCGACTGCTTCCACTCCTTCCAGTTATGCGTGTAACGAAGTCCCACTGAAGGGGAGCATGATGGAGAACACTGAAGCAGAAAAGTGAGCAGAAACATACTGAACAAGACTTGGCTTGGCAAAACATGAACAAACTCACCAAACAGTGGATTACACGAAAAAGCTAGACAATGGACAATGAAACAGGAGGACAATATCAAACGAATGGGTCACATGACACAATCCAACCAATGAGAACAAGACATATGAACTAGAAAGCCAATAGCAGGATCACATGAGGGCAAGGGAAACACATGACAGGGACCATGACTATGAATAAAACAAAATAAAAAACATGAAAACAGTGAACATGAAACAAAACCCGAAACCCAGGTTACAGTATGTGGGGTAAAGCAGTACTATTTTATCATACTAGATATATTTAAGTGTGTTGGAAGTTCTATTACGATGCTACTCTGTGTGTTCATCACCTGTCTAATAAAAAGCATAACATATTAAAGAGTCTTTGTTTCCATGTTTTCTAAAAAAATAAAACTGGAAATCAATGGTGTTTGATGTCATTGGCAAGCGACGTAATGACACGGTTCGTTACACTAGTTAAAATTGCTTATTTCTCTTGTTGGAAACATTTGGGATAATGTAAGTACACAAGTCAACTAACTATATAACACTGTTCTAGTGGTTTTTGGATATTTTAATTTAAAAAACGTATATATTGTGCCTTTAACACTAGAGTTTATGGTAACTTTGTAACTTCAGGATACTGATGTCAATATTTGGTATTCTTCATGCTGCTCTGCTGCACTTCATTACGCACATATTGGGTATTTGTTTGGATAACAAAAACATTTAAAACATTCCTTTTTTAAGCTGGTCTGCCTGAGCTTTCTAACAGTGATTGTCAAGGTCAAAATGATTGAGATGGCCAGTCCAATAAAAGCGCAAATGTTTGATGCATGTTGCATATTCAAATGCAGAGATACACTGAAAACACTGGATCATGAACTGCTCACATGTAAATTGATATAGTGCTGTGCTGAATTATTATATGAAATTACATTGCAAGCTTTACAAACCTCAGAATCTCCAGCTGACAGTTTGTACTCTTAAGTCCATCAGAAAGAAGCTTCACTCCTGAATCCTTCAGGTCATTGTTACTCAGGTCTAGCTCTCTCAGGACAGAGTTAGAGGATTGTAGAGCTGAAGACAGGTCATTGTTACTCAGGTCTAGCTCTCTCAGGACAGAGTTAGAGGATTGTAGAGCTGAAGACAAACTTTCACAAGACTGAGCAGTGAGATCACATCCACATAACCTGTGTAAAGAACAAAACAAACAGCTACATTAAAAACAAAAGGAAATGGTCTTCCTTTAGATTTTAAATGTGTTTCAGTAATTCAAATCTTCACATAACACCTGCTACAGCAAGGCAGGGAAGGAAGAGTGGATCCAGTTGAACAAGTTTGTATTTATTTAAATTAACAAAGACAAATGTCCGAAAGGTTCCTAAAACGAAGGAAAATAAAAACACATCAAATCAGCTGGCAAACATTCACCATAACCTGAAGAAACCAAAGAATATAAATAAATAAAACTAGACACAGGTGACAAACTAATCAGTAGCTATGGAAAAAAAAAGGGAACCTTCTTTAGGAACCAAGGAAATAAAGGAGACAGGAAATAAACACAGGAAACTAGAACTCAGATACAAAAGAATGAAAAGAACATCAAAATAAGAGTCGCAGAACAGAAACAGAACGTCAACCTGACAACACCACACCTGGATAGTTTTCCCAATATTTAGGGGTCCAAGCACTGAAGGTGCCAGAACCCTATTGTTTTTGTACTGATTTTCTTCTTATTATTATTATCCTTTTTCTGCCCTAAAAGTGTCTGGCCAGCCAAAACTGTAAGTCGTAGTAGAAACACCAAGATGAGAGATGAAAGACGTAATACTAATGTTGTCACAAGACAACAAATTCTTTTAGATCACGTAGTTTAAAATATGTGTAAATATCCTAAATTCAGAAAACATTTGTCAAGTTGTCAGACATGACTGCATTGTGGTCCAGTTAGAATGAAGAGACAATATTATTTGTCTGTTGTGATATGGTACATAAAATAAAACTTCCATAGAAAGACACTTAAAATAGACCTACTCGTATTATGCTTGAAAAGAGACATGGCCATTGTAACATAATTGTATCCTCTACACGAGGCGTTTCCCAGCGGGCACCTTGATATCCATTTGACGTCAAATAATAGTCATTGATGACGATGCTGTAACATCATTTTAAAATCAGTTTGGACAGCAGTTTCTTCCAGTGGTAATTGGGTGAAAATAGGAAGTTAATCCCACACTGAAATTGGTTTATTGTAGCATAAATGTAGGGCCATTATGTTTGGCGTTCAATTTACATCAAATCAATGTCATTTCAAGTTTTTGATATCAGTTGGATTTACATGTTTGACCTGTTTTTTTATGTCAATTCTGGTGTCAAATTGATGTCTTTTCAACATCAATTGCCCAATCGGTCATGCTTGGACCCAGATGATTGCCGCTTGCATATATATTTTATGTACTGATCATGTACTTTTCTTAACCTATGATACAATTTAGAAAAATGAAATGGGTAAAATTTGAGTACAACAAAGTAAAGGTCCTGGTGTTAAATTACCACTGCTCAGAGTACATATTGTCTCAATCTGCAGATCCCGGTTGTTCAAAAAGTTTAATGTGGATCAGAATGATTCAGTGATTTATAACTCCAATGCAATTAATGAATCAGATTATTAAGATACATAAAGAACAAATGGTGTTTTCCCATGACTTAAGTGTTTTCATTTGAAGAGACAGAAAACGTAACCTTGGTACCCGAGACACTGCATCTTGGATTGATGCAATGGGGAACGTCATCAGCATGACTGGTGTCTGAAGCATGTGTGCAAACACAACAATTCTATTGGCTGATGAAAGGGGTGGGCACTTCCAATCCCGGAGGGCCACTGTCCTGCAGAGTTTAGCTTCATCATAATCAAACACAGCTGATAAATCTAACCACAGTCTTCAGGATTGCTTGAAAATTGTGGGCAGCTGTGTTTGATTAGAGATGGAGTTAAACTGTGCAGGACAGTGGCCCTCCAGGACGGGAAGTGCCCATCCCTGGTCTATGACGCCATTATCGGAGCTGTGTATAAGAGGGCACCTTCAATGTACGTCATCAGCTTTTTTGTCTTCAGGAGCTGCTTGTTTGTACATGTGTGTAAAAAACCCTGAATGAGCTCATTGCATTGCATTTGTGGTAAGCTCTGTTCTTGCTTTATTCTCTCCAGAGGGATGACATAATTACAATAATAATAATAATAATAACAACAACAACATTAAGGTGTCGAAGTAATTAAGAAATGTATAATAGCAATATGCAAGGATGCCCCAGTTGAAGAGCTGGCTAAGAGCTCTCTCTCTCTCCTGGTGTTGCATCCTCTGTGAAGGCTCCCACCTTGCCAGTAGAGTGAGTGATTTTGGCTGAATGCTAGGGCTGCCCCTGACTAAAGATTTTCCTAGACGACCAGTTCATTAAAGCCATTAGTTGACTAATCGCCCATTTATTATATTAATTTAATCACTTAAGCAAATATGGGGTAAAATGGTTTGATTTTAAGGGCTGAGAAAGAATGTTATTTGTAACATTGTTCTACATTTTAGAGAAATACTAAACCATAATAATAATAATAATAATAAGCATTAAAAATAGGAATTAAGAACTTAAGCACACGCATAAAACGACACTGGCAAAAGTTATGATTATTAATGTGTCGGGGGGAAAAAAGGGCAAGGAGGTTTACTGAATATTCATAATTGATTAATAAAAGTATAACATACACACACACACACACATCACAAATTATGAACTTGCTAATAATAATTAAATACACCATTTGGTAAAGTAACAAACTCAAATGAATAAATATATCGCAAAGTGCAACACTTATATTAATAGTAGGCCTATATCATGAATACAAAAATTAAACAGGCCTATAGGCAAGTCACATGAAAATGTCCCTAAGTTACGTATGTAACTATGGTTCCTCGAAGGGAACGAGATGCTGCAACGAAAACACTTTGGGAACACCTCTGTGTGACCGCGTCCTAAAGCACATGTGAAATCGGTCCAATAGAATGGCGAGACGTCACGGATGGGGTGACGTGGAGACCAGGATGCTTTGGAGTAAACAGCGGCAGCTTCCGATAAGTCGAAGCAAGCGCTTACAGGGTTGCAGGAAGTATGGCAGGCGATGCAGCGTCTCGTTCCCTTCGGAGAACCATGGTTACATACGTAACCTAGGGAAGTTCCCCTTCAGGAACTCAAGCTGCATCAAAAATGCTTTGGGAACGAGAATACCAACTCCACCATACTGAAGAATGCCCGTCCAGTGTGAAGACTACGCGCACATCTAAGACAGAAGCACTCGGAGTAGTTCCCAAATCTAGGTTATAAAACTTGACAAAGGTGAGCAGGGTAGACCAATCCGCAGCCTCACAAACATTGTGTAGAGACACGCCAGATGAGAAGGCCTTCGAGGCCGCCATGCTCCTATTAGAGTAGGCCCTGACCCCCAAATATAGCGGGAGGTCAGATGACTCATAAGCCAGGGAGATAGCCTCAACTATCCACCTGCTTAATGTCTGTTTGGCCGCAGGGATAACCCTCTTTGGCAGACCAAAGCAAACAAAAAGTTGCTCAGATTTTCTCCACAGTGTGGACGTAGGTGTCCAGTGCTCGCACTGGACACACTAAATTAAGCTTCTCCTGTGAGGGAGGAGAACAGAATGCCTGAAGCACTTCCAGCCGTGGAATCTGAGTGGGCACATTAGGCACATAACCAGGCCTTGGGTGCAAGAATGCTTTGACTCTCCCAGGTGCAAACTCTAGACATGATGGGGCCACTGAAAGGGCCTGAAGATCACCAACCCTCTTGAGAGAGGGACTGGCAAGAAGAAACACTGTCTCAAGTGTTAAAAACTTCTCAGAAACCTCCTGTAGAGGTTAAATGGGAGCCTTACTAAGCCCTTCCAGAACCACGGTCAGATCCCATGCCAGGACTTTAGTGCGTAGAGCAGGACTCAGCCTCAAAGCACCACTGAGGAAAGTTGTCAGCAACAGATTTCTTCCTAATGATAGACCATCCAAAAGGGTGTGGTAAGCAGCTATGGCTGCCACGTACACCTTTAGAGTGGAAAGAGTCAACCCTGCAGAGACTCGTTCTTGCAGCAATTCCAGCACTGAACCAACCGGGCAATTAACTGGGTCCAGTTTCCACTTCAAGGAGTACAGTTTCCAAAAAAATAAGATTTATGAAGCAACGGTTCTACAAAGCAGGTCCAAAAACAACCAAATTGCTGGCCTGGAGGTTACGTAGGCAGCAGGCAGAAAGGGCAATATATAAAATTAGAGACCCTACGTCATACACGGTAACCACGAACATGGAGGGAATTCAGAAGTCATTTGAAACATACTATAAATTATTATATACCCAACCTGAGAGAGCAAGTGGACAACAAATTGAACAGTTCTTAAATTCATTTAGTGATCTCAAATGAGGAAATAGATGAGGCAATTACTTTTCTCAAAACTGGTAAATCGCCAGGTACAGATGGATTCCCTCCAGAATGGTATAAGTCATTGAGGGAGCAATTACTTCCGTTGCTTGTATCTAGTTTTAATCATATTATGGAAGGAGGGTCCCTCCCTCCATCCTGGGGGGAAGCCTATATCTCTGTAATATTAAAGGAGGGTAAGTACAAGCTTGACTGCAAATCATATAGCCTAATAAGTGTACTGAATACAGATTATAAATTGTTCACATCAATCTTGGCGAAAAGGATGGAAAAGTTGATGACTTTCCTGATAGACCCAGACCAAACAGAGTTTTTCAGGGATAGGCAAACGCATGATAATATCCGGAGATCCCTGCACATTATTGACTATATCAACAAAAGAAAAAGTAATGCGATCCTTCTCAGCTTAGACATTGAGTAGGCTTTTGATTCTGTTGGTTGGGAATTTCTTTTTCAAGTTATGCATAGATTTGGGTTCAGTAAAAGAATTATACAATGTATAAAGACACTATACTTACCACCACCAGCTAGAATAAAAATTAATGGCAGCCAGTCTAATTCAATAGTTTTACAAAGAGGATGTAGACAGGGTTGCCCCATTAGCCCTTCTCTTTTTAACCTCTTTATTGAACCTTTGGCTCAAATGATAAGACGGGATGGTGGTTTAGATGGGATAGTAATAGGAGTAGTAGAAT